GTCTTTCTGCATACTAGGGTATGATTCTCCACACAAAGAATTACCTCTTTCACTACACCTACAACAATTTACTACAGCTGTCTTTCTGCATACTAGGGTATGATTCTCCATTTGTTCAAAGCTCAAGTTTTTTCTTGGATTTCCACATATGCTAAAAATTAACTATATATTCAATTAATTGACACAAGGCAGTAGTTCAACACAAAACCTTATGACCCAAGAAGAAAGGTCCACCTATTGAAAGCACTTGGGTTATAGGGTCTTCTATATTTGTGTTAAACTGATTTCTTGAACCTATGTGTTTTCCTAACATCATGAATAAGGCAGTAGTTGGTACTCTTACTAAAATATACTGAATCAATATGAATGTATTACCTAAATCTAATAAATGTGAGAACAGCTAATGATGGAAAGAATAAAATGTTATATTTTGAAAATTAAACAATTACTAAAATTTATTTATTTATCACTGATTCTTAAAATTAGAATAAAAATCTTTAATGAAATGTTAAACTTACAAGCAGGCCTGGGGATGTAGGCTAACTATAGTATGTAACTGCACTAATTAATCAGATTTTAGTAAAACTGAAAACATTAAAACAATTATTGACTGGTGATTTCAAGCAACAGACAGATCATTTGTTGCTCTAATAACCAGTCAATAATTGTTTTAATGTTTAATAGTGTTATAAATAATTCAAGAACTGGATTTTATAATGTAATTTTCTGTACAAAGTATTTCAGAAATATCAAAATACTACCTTTAGTTATATTACTCACACTATTATTTATAACAAGACATGCTTTTATGTTACTTTTATGTATGACACAATTAAAACTGCATTTTACCTGACTTAAGAATGATAATTAAAATTCATCATAAGTGTCCATCTCCAGAGACACTGACCTGTTGAAAGTACAAGTAATAAGTGGTATTAATATCCATTCTTTTTATAAAACATGAATTAATAGTTAGACATAGTTGGAAGTTAAATTAGTGGATATTTTTTCATGAACATTGCTTTACTATTTATCCCAAGAATTATTTAATATGTATAAAACAATAGCTGATGCTACTGAAAAACAAAACATTTTAACATTCTTATTTCAAATTATCAGTCAGAAGTATATTCTAATGAAAATAAGGAACACTACATCAAAAGTAGCAAATGTGTTTCATTTTAACACATTTGGGTATATACAAACGTAATCATTAGGATAAGTATCACTACATTTTATACACAGATATAATTATAGCAAGAAATAATAAAATAGAACAAGTTCTAGGCTTAAAGTAGTGAATTAAAAGGCCATTATTTTGAAACATTTTACAGAAAAGTGTCTATAAGGTATGAATTTTTCCTACTCTGAACATTTTCATTTACATTACCATACACCTTATCCCACAAATGATAAAAAACTGTAAAAATGACTTTTAATCTTGAACATAACTCCACCATAAAAATTTCATGTTTCAAATCCCATGTACACAAAATGTTAACAATTCACTAATGATTTACACGGCACTTTGAACCACTTCAGGTATGGAAATTTGTCGTGTGAGCCCGAGTTTCTTGTGCCATTTCAGTCCTAGAAAACACATTACTGAGACTATGTGTATACAGCACCTTCCTGCATAGAGAAGACCATCCATACAGTCCATTCTCAAATAGATGTTTTCGTGTATATAGTACCACCAGTTTCAGCTGATATACATAGGGTGTCAGTGATCAAAGTAATTTTTCAGACAACTGTGAAAAGTCTAAACCAAGATCATCTACTTCAATTTTCTTTCCATTTTGACACAATACATGCTAAATACTTTACAATCTGATGGAGTGTGTTGGATTGTTTCTCCAGTCCAAGCATATGTTTTGTGACAGCAGAATTAGCTTCTGTGTGTTGTATGTCGAAAGTTAATAGCAGTTGCAAAGAGTATTGGCAATTCTCACATAACTCCATATAAAAGGAATCTGCAGATAGATAAAACCATGTCCAGTAACATCCACTGTTTTATGTGACTATTTATTGTTTCTCCAGTCCAAGCATATGTTTTGTGACAGCAGAATTAGCTTCTGTGTGTTGTATGATCGAAAGTTAATAGCAGTTGCAAAGAGTATTGGCAATTCTCAGATAACTCCATATAAAAGGAATCTGCAGATAGATAAAACCATGTCCAGTAACATCTACTGTTTTATGTGACTATTTATTGTTTCTACAATCCAAGCATATGTTTTGTGATGAGCCTTGAAAGACTGTATTTCTCTGTATGATGCTGATTAGTTACCTGGGTTTTTAAACACAGTTTGTGAAGGAGATTCAATGCATTTCCAGGTCCTCTATTCACAACAGCCACGTCATATGCCTGTATCCAGGTGCAACTGTTTCAGTATATGTGATGAATAATTGCTCCATTATTATTTTGCTCACCAACAAGATATAGATGAAGGAACTACACAATCAATGGATACAACCACTGCTTATTTTATAAAACGGTGATATTTATACTTCACTTCTGGAATGTATACTTGGCACTTTTATCCGTTATAACATATGTGCCTT